CTGTTTACCTAGAACAACATTCTGTAACAGAATTACAGTTCTCTTAAAAGAACAGCATCCTCACTTGGTACATGTCTACTCTCTTTCCCACACCCCTCCTTTGCAACATCCTTAGCTATCTTCCCAATTCTCCTAATTCCTTTCTCCATGCCCTATTTTTTTTCCAGTGCAGCAATTTATCCCTTCCCACAATCTCACTTTCTCGGCCACATTTCTCTGACTCAACTCTCTCCTTCTACACCCCAGTGGCTTCTTTTCTCTCTATTGTCACAAGTGGTATAGGCCCTCCCCATGCCCACCCTGCTGCTCTCAATCCTAATGTTTCATTATCCTCTATGATCCTCACTATAGTCTTTCATTAAAAAGGGTGCTGGACTCCTCTACTGGAAAACAGGTGGAAACATACGAGTTCATGGATATATCATTTGGCTCACCAAATCAAGAGCGGCTCAACCTACGGAAGAAGTCACCCAGCCATCACTTACATTATACGTTCAGTTTCTGATGAAAAGTCAACGTATCTTCCAAAGATAAACTTCAAATCCTGGGATTTAAATAAAAGCAGAGCAGGAAGAGTTAGCTACTTCTGTGGAAGGAACCAAACACTTTCTGCTCAATTCCCACTTACCCTTTCTTGAACTTGTTTAGAGAGATTCTTCACGTAAATTCTACAATTTGGCTCACCGGGCTCATAATTTCTGAAGACAGCAAGAGTTTCCATTTCTTGAGCACAGAAAAAAAATATATATAGCTGTAATCTCCATTTTAGCCAATAGGCTTAATTAAATAATTAATTCTCAACAGAATGTATATTTTATGTGAAAAAAACCCAAATCAACTAAGCAATATAGCCAAACAAGCTCATCACATTTAAATAAAGCAACATCCTCATTGCGTGTCATAAAAAAAATTAATGGTAATAAAATCACCTTTATGGGAGACTCTGCTTTTTTCTAGCTCTCTTTTAGAAACAAATTCCGAAGGTATTTCATCGTCTTCTTCTTCCTCTTCTGTCTCTTCTTTATGACTGGAACGGAGAGCGGGTAAGATTTTTCCAAACCCTTCACCAGATATTTCATCAATGGCTGCATAGATGTCTAAGACAATTAAACACAGAGAACGTTTAGTTGGGACGTGATCCTGAGACACAAGTGACCTCAATCAAATTAAATACATGATAACGTGAAATCCATGTACATATAAACACGTTTTAGTTGACACACACAGCATACCATTGTTATGCTGCTCCGCCAAGCTTTTCTGAAGAATGCCAGGGCTCTCTGAAGATATGTGAAATTCAATTTTTTTGAGACCTACAGGGTGCGGCTGCTCAAACACATCCGAAGGCGACAGGGCTGGGTGCAAATTGCTGTTCAAAAAGACAATATAAAGCTTTGTTTAAAGCTTCTTTACAAGAAAGATTATGCACAGAATTGTTTACTCCTTAATGATTTTACATTTCTTTAAAGGGATTGCAAAAAGGGTTGCTAAGCACGTTACAGGTAAGAGTTGCAAGCAATATTCTGGTAATACTGTTTTTTTCTTACAATATAGCGCTATATACAATCACACCGCTGGACAATCTATATTTTTACTTGCTGAATATTTCTGACAGTTCAGTCAGGTAATTTCTCAAGATATCTATGTACTCCTTACATAGCAATGATCCACATTCAATACTCATATATCCATACCTGTGGGAAGCAAGCTGGGAGACATTTAATAAGTCTTTGATCTTTCTCCTTTTTCTTGTACGGTGCGGCTTTGTTGGGATCCGTCGTTTGGGTTGGAGGGTTGCCAATTCCATCAACTTTGTAAATCTGAATTATTAACATATTGAATACTTTATTGGAAAAAAGGCATTTCAACAGAAAATATGGGGGGAGAGTTAAACTTATCAATGAAACAAACCTCCCGCCCTCAGGGTTTTAGAGTTTGGCTTTTAAAAGAAGACTCTATTTAGTAGATGCCTGCTGCAGACAAGGTGATGTTGACTACTCTGCCATTTCTTCCACTCTGAACCCTGGTAGACGGAGAACTGGGGAGAACTGATTGGGAAACACACACCACTGCCCTAAGAAGAGTCTGGTAAATGAAAGAGAAGTAGCAGCCAGAGCAGCTGTCTCCTTTGGTTTCAGTTTCTCTGAAAGATAATGTGCTGACGAAGTCCAGTGAAGCTCAAACCTCACCACACACGAGGGGAAGAGGCTATTTCTCAGATCTAAACTTGCTATAAGAAAGGGACGGGAGGAAGGGGGCATCTGAAATCAAGATCAATTTTGCGGGGTCTACAGACCAAATTAACCCCTATCAAGTTAAGGGTGAGGTATGCTTTCCCTACCCATTCACTTCTTTGAATTACATCAGTTGATTCCATGCTCTATAGGTCTTCAAGGGCAAGGCCAAAAGCTTTGGGGATATATATTTAATATATATAACCAACGAGATGTAACTATTTGGTGGAAGCACCACACAAAATGCAGTATTTTAAGAAAAGAGTATTTTTTTAAAAAACAAAACAACCCTCCCTTGATACTCAATTATGGTTAAAATACCTTTTGAAATACTTTTGGGCAAGGTTTAAAATTAGTTGAAAATATATTTACTGCTTGATAAAAGAAATCTAGCAGTCTCTCCATAGTTGGTATTAAAGTAGGCTTCTATGTTACTGCTATGTAGTCAAGAGAGAAAGAGACAGAGACATTGATTACTAAGGCACAGGTAATTCCTAAACTATGGGTTCCAATCCCATAGTTTAACTATTTGCTAACTTTTACAGAGCCACCCAGAGTGGCTGTGGAAACCCAGTCAGGTGGGTGGCGGCTGCTGCTGCTACTACTTCTTCTTCGACTGCAAAATATCACTAACTCTTTGCAGGCAGAGAAAAACAAGGACACCAACTTTTACGCAGGGAGCAGCAGGCTACAAAATATCACTAACCTTTCTTTTTCCTCTTCATCAGCACTTTCATACTCAGATTCATCTTTGCTCGAGTCCTGACTGTCCTCCTCTTCAGGCAAAGGGGGTTCCTCAGGAGGCAGAGGAGGAATAGGAGGCGGTAAAGGGATATACTCTTCATACTAAAGGAAAAATAAAATATACAACCTTTTTGGTATTTCTGTTGTTAACAGTTCAAATGTGAGCGTGTGTGTGTGTGTGTGTGTGTGTGTGTGTGAGAGAGAGAGAGAGAGAGAGAGAACACATACACAGTACTCAACAAGCAAGTGTTCTGCACCAGTCTAGTGATGTTCTGCACCAGTCTAGTGATTGACATTAGATTATCACATACCCTCTTGTGGGCAGTGATAAGAAAGGGTCTGGACAAAAGGCCATAGCTACTGCATCACTCATGCAGCATACCCAGGAAATATGGGTCAAGAGTGGAGACTGAGGAAAGAACAAGGTAAGAATATTTATGTATCCATGTGCAATTTATCCCACCATTGTACCAACAGAACGTGGGGCAACCACAATGTAAAGTGCAGATTTAGCTGTTGTGAGGGATGGACAATATGCTTTAGCAGATCTTGACTACAGAGTTTGACTACATCAATTGCATCTCTTCTTATTCTGAGAAGAGTCAATATACAGCTCAATATACTGAACTTATATTTCAGTAATGATAGGAAATTCCCATTATATTTTTCAAAGCACACCTTTTATAGTTCACTTGATAATGAAGAACAGGACCCAAAGATGGAGTGACACTTCTAACTGAGGAGTTGCAAAAGCAGTTTGATATGGCATGATAATCAGTTGTTGATGGGGGGAAAGCCAAAAATTCCACTAGGTTCACACTCCCACTTGGATCCTAGCCAAAAATGTTAAAGAAAGGGGTATCTTAAAACTATAAATACAGTGGTACCTCTGGTTACGAACTTAATTTGTTCCGGAGGTCCACTCTTAAGATGAAACCATTCTTAATCTGAGGTACCACTTTAGCTAATGGGGCTTCCCATTGTCACTGGCGTGCGATTTCTGTTCTCATCCTGAGGTAAAGTTCTTAACCCGAGGTACCACTTCTGGGTTAGCGGAGTCTGTAACCCAAATTGTTTGTAACCCAAGGTGTCTGTAACCTGAGGTACCACTGTACAATGTTGCATTTATTCACAGTGCTTCAAGTAATAACAGTTCCATACCATAGGAGGTCGAGGAGTAACTGGCCCAAAGGGAGGAGGAAGATTCATTTTGTTCATAAGATGCAAAACCTGAAAGACAATAGCAACTTAGCATCTTCTCCAGGTACTCAAAGATGAATACTTAAGTAAACATGCCATTGTCATGGGACAAATATTATCCTTGCCACAACCGTTCACGTATTCCACATAAACCAAAACTTGTTGCATATTTTACAATGGTTTTATATTTCCTATAACTAATGAGCAGGAAATATGTCATCTGAAGATTAAAATGTCAGTTTGCATTTCTTAGTATAGAAATTATTGATCTGATGTGTAGAGATCTTTCCTATTCTAATTGATTCAAGAGGGTTCTGGAAGCTTCTCTGTGTGAAAGAAACAAGCAGAAGGTTCATGATGTTTGGGTTATTCCTTCAGAGAAGCTGCATACAGCTTGCTTAAAATGGTTCTCTTACCTTTTTCTGTCAAGGTCATGCTGACTATAATAAGAGGCCAGAAGGAGCCTGGGTTACTCTCTCTTTCCATCTGGTGTAGTGTTCTGTACATAGTATGCTTAGTGTTAAGGTTTAGTCGTCTTATAAGTTATCGTAAGTTTAAGTGAAGTCTGCTGCAACTGCATTTCTTATGGACAGTGCCAATCCTGAATGTATTCAATTTGTGACCATTATGCTCATTTGCCTTTGGTAGCAGTAAAGTTCTGCTGGATGAAATGCCTCTGGACTATTTTTTGGGAATCCTGCAACATATTTAAGCTTTTACTCTGCTAACTATACTTTGGAATTCTACTCTGGATCAATAGTGAGTAGAATAAATGACATAAAATCCTGGAACCATAAAAAATGAATAATTCTACAAGTTAAAATAAGTTGTGCTTGCCAGACAGAACTAGATTTAATGTATCTACCTAATGTGATTTATTTAAGGACTTTTTTCTCACAGGGAGATGGGATACTGAGATAAAATAATTTGGCAATACAGGGAGATATATGTACAACAATTATAACAGAAACGGTGTAAAATCTTGACCTAGGCAGTAAAACAATATCAACTAGTTTGGACATATTTGAAAACATGGTTACATACTTCCAAGCATCTAACAATATGGACTAGAAGTTTGGCCTTTAAAAAAAATTATTGGAAAGAAAATTTAAAGAACCATGTGATTTGTCATTTAAGACACTGAGCAAAACCACCCCTAGATTCTGCAATGAACACGCATACCTTACCTACTTCTGCCATGGAATCCACGATGGCACACATGTGATCCAAAAGCCAGTACTGGCACTGACAGGCATGCATATATTGAGCAAGGTGGTAGCTGTATGGTGCCTTCAGACCATAGCTTAATAGCTTTGATGGCTCAAAACAGTGCTTATGAGAACATACTAAAAATATTCTTACTGCTAAAGGTGATCCAATAACTCATACTGAAAGTCTTTGTGAGCTCCTTTGCAGTCACTTTCAAATTAATTGATGCCACTACAAACTCAAATAGGAGTGGAGCGATGCGACATTCACAGCAGAATCCTATACAAAAGTAAGTCCCACTGAGATCAATGGAGCTTATTTCAAAGAAGCAGATACAGGACACAAGCCCTAGTCAATAATTTACAGCTGCTTAAAATAACAATTTGGCAATACCATACTAGTAATCCCATAGTAGTATAGAGTTTATGTATTGAATTTAGGTTGGGGACGAGGATTTACACTTACCTGCACATAAAACTTAGGCACACTTGCCAAGGCATTTGCTATGTTGGCTAGGATTGTACTGGAAGGCGGGGGATATCGATATTTGAGGCAAGAATTTATAGGGAAAGTTAACCTGTGAGGGGAAACAAACCAACCTTAGAAACAATTCAAACCTATATAAAAAAGCTTCACTATGCAGAAGAGTTCAATATTTAGAGTTTAAAAGCACCGAACAAAGAAACCCCTAGCTCACAAACCAGCAATTCTGAAACATCAGAGACTGATTCCATAACATGCAGGGATTAATAAAAATATTTACCAACTACGGGATTGTAATGCTTCTCTTTGTTGAACAGCAGCTCGCAACACTACAGGGGACACCATTTTTTGAAACTAAAGGGAATTTCAAAAGCATGTTGAGCATAGAACTGAGAGGTCACCTGGTCTAACCCTTACTCAATGCAAATATTCGTAGTAGCTCTTAAATACCAATCCGTATGCAAAAAATAGTGACAGGCAACAAATATCTGCAGACAGAAGTTTGTGGAGCCCTCAGAAAACTAAGAGTGGCAATCTTTTCAGCACACAAGTCTGCTCTGTTGCTTATCACATCTACTGTAAGTTCCACGTCCATGCAAATATCTAACATTGGTTCTCCCAATGTTGCTGGATGCTGAACTATCGCTTACTGACTGGAGCCAATGGAAGTTGGAGGTAAACAGCATCTGACAAACTGCAGAGGTTAGCTAATTCTGTTTTAGTCAGTAGCATGAAAAAAACGTACTAAGAAAAGGGTAGTGATATTAATTGTAGGAACAGAGAGGATGTGATTCATTCTTGGAAACCAAGTTAAGAAAAGATTACTGGTCTCTCATATGTTTGCCTAAACGTGTTCACAAATGGTTTATAGGCCAGGATTCAACAACAATTTTTGTATACAAAATCAGAACTCAAGTACTAACCCATGGCTAGGAGCAATTCCACTTTCTATCTTGAGGCAGCCTAGATCTTTCTGTTCTTTCTCTTCTTTCACTGGTTCTTCAAGGCTAAAACACACACAAGAGCAATCTACTACATTATGAGGTATGCTGAAATAACCCTAACTGTAAATGAACCCCACTGTGTTTGGACACAAAGTGCATTAAAAAAAAAAGAGCCACCAATAAAATTTGTTGTTGTTCATTCTTTACTCGTTTTTATCTAAATGAAGGACAATAGTAATAGGGGTAAACATAACACAACATAAATGACCAGATATGGAAGTTTCTATGAAGTCATAATGTAATGGGTATGAGTTACTCGTGCGTAAACTGCCGCCTCTCTAGGCTAAATTGCCTTGTTAAACCGTTCTGACTGCACAGCCCATCTCAACGTGGCTGCCTCAGTCGCTGGCAGAATCCGTCAGTGGGCGTTTCTTAAACCTCTTCCAACATAAAAGCTGTTTGACTCCCAGTCTCCTCCTCCTCTCACTGCGCGGGAGTCTTCTGCGCAGGGAGGGCGTGGGTAGCGGGGGACCTGTGCTCTCCTCACTGATGTCCAGTGAAGAGTCCTGGAGCCCTCTCTCCGCTTCCCCCATCTCCTCCCCTTTATCCCTGGTGTTGCGCTGATTTCCTTCCCCCTCTCCTGAGCTGCTTCTCCCCCTTCTGCTGGGTCCTTCGCCAGCATCATCTGGGAGCCTCCCCTTCGCCTCTCACTCCGATGTCAGTTCCCTGACACATAACTCTAATTTTGGCTCATAAATATGAATACCCACTCAAATCTATTTTGTTCAATTGTTGAATTCTGTGAGGTAGCCGTAATTTATATTCCAATAAAGGGGATGAATAAGATGAATCCATATATGTAAAAATCTGTATTTTTGATTCTGCTCAGTTCTCTTCCCTTCCTATGTTGGCTCAGTGAGAAAAAAAACCAAACAGAATTGTCTTTGTGGCAGAACTCCTAACTTCTTCTGTCCCAGTCCTAGACAATCTGACCAAAATTTATCTTTGAATGGGTCAAGATTTCCCCAGTATGATGGTCACACGGTAAAAACGGAGTGGAAAAGCATATCTGCTATTTAACCACAGGAACCTAGCCTAAATAAGGCCGTAATCCGAACCCCACTTACTTGGAAGTCCTACTGCATTCACTAGTACTTACCTCTTTCACTTCAGATCTAAAGTATTAATACAATGGGATTTGAAGAAACAATCTGGATCCGCCCATATCCACCACAGCAAAGTTTGAAGAAGGAGTTTTTGGAAAATATTTTCAAGAATCTTAGGAATATTTTATAAGCCCACTGAATTTGAAAATACAGAAGCATCTACATACCTTTTGTCCTTCTCACTTTCAGAAGATTGGCTAAGTGCACAAACACTGTCTTGGTCCTTTGCATATTCAACTACCAGAGTGTGGCCTAGAAGGTTCAGCTGATGCAATCTCGATAAAGCCTTCAATTGAACACAACATGCAGTTAAATCAACTAACATTTAAAATGCACTCTGACCCATCAACCTCTCAGTTTATCCCTTTCTTCTCCCCTCTTGCAATTTACTTTGCCTAAAAACTAAGGAACCTGGAGAGAAAGTTTGTTTGGGGGAAGAGCAACAACTTTCCATTCAATCCCTCTTAATGACCAAAATGGATAATGTCCTGACCGTTGCCTACAATTTTATACCAACTTACCAGCGAGAAAGGCATGCTGAAAATAAGTGAGAATTACTTCTCATTGCAGATAAGACTTGCTACACATGCAGAAAATTGCACTGTTAATGACTATGGGATTTGATTGCTTTCTTGCCAGTTCTTGAACTGGACACTGAAACTTATACTTCTGTTCCGATAATGTAGGTTACTTATAGATTTGTGGTTTATATGAGGCCAATATGCATATATTTTATAAATTTCCTACTCCAAGGATTTTACACTTTTATGTTAGACAGAAGATAGAAGTTAGGAGAGGCAAAGTTAAGATGACAACAGGATGTCTGTCATCTTAATACAGAAAGAGCTATAAAATATAAAGCTAAGAGCAACTCGATATATTTTCTGTTTCTTTACAGCAGGCTTCCTCAGACTTGGCCCTCCAGATGCTTTTGGCCTACAACTCCCATGATCCCTAGCTAGCAGGACCAGTGGTCAGGGATGATGGGAATTGTAGTCACAAAACATTTGGAGGGCCGAGTTTGAGGAAGCCTGCTCTACAGTCTTGAACACGTAGCGGGTAGCCTGCATTTGCACATTTACAAGTTAAGCAGGCCTGTTTTAATATTAGCATCTAATATGTACACACAGTCATCGGTACCATACTCTGTTGTCTTTATGCTAACAGTTAATATTCATTTGCTAAAGTGTCCTTGCTGTTTTCTAACAACACCTAAATATATAATTATCTAAAGCATTTTGGAGGAAACTTATCCAGGCATGAATGCTCTTAAGCAAGTCCTCCCTCCAATCTTAATGGAGTTTATTCTAAGTAGATATGCAAACAATCACAGCCTTACAACCCAATCCTCAGAAATAAATCTCATTGAAATCAATGGGGTTTACTCCCCAGGTAAGCAGGGTTAAGACTGCAACCTTAGACTTATCTTCAACACTTTGTTTCTGTATTCAAAGGCAGACATCTTGACCTACAGCCATAGAACACAACAGCAAAAAAGAACAAAAGAAATAAAAGAACGAAATTCTGTAATGGTCTCAAATACACACCTGAGTAGCTGCATTTTCATTCGGAAAAGTAGCAAAAGCAGTGTGTTTCTGAGAGGGGGAAAAGAACATGCCAAACGTTGATTTTCCAATATAAGCAGAGAAAACATTAACACACAAATTATCCAATGTATTGCAGAATTTTTAAACGTGAATGTGGCTGCACCTAAAGACAAAGCAGGAAGGGCAACCATCTCTCTTTCTCCCCCCCTTGTTAGAACTGGAACATCAAGAAAGAGAGTCTAAGATGTGGAATCAGTACTTTTTGAGTCCAGTTTTCTAACCAGCTCCGAATCCCCTATTTAACCAGTTTCCTAGTTTTCAGTAAACACGATTGCCGCTTTACGCTGCTCTGCATTCTGAGTAGAGGTTACTCACAGACATTTGTAGATATATCTTGAGCCGCTTTGCATGGCACTCTTAATATAAGCAGGCACGAAAATGAAGAAACATGGCTTGGTGACCAGGCTCCCAAATAGAAGCTCCCAGACACTTTGCTCCTCTCTGGTCCTTTCTGCCATTGCACTAACCCAACATTTGGTTTAGTGTGCAACGCCACACTGGCCATTGCATTTTAGTTTTAACTCTTATCGCACAACACTTTGAGATTATTATTATTATTACTGTATTAGTATTTTAAAGCAAGTGGTCTATAATTTGATACAATAAATACATGTGCCAGATGTTAACAAATGGTCAAATTGTGTGTGTATATCCATCTATCTGGCGCCTAAAGGTGTACGGCAAAGACACCAGCCGGACCTCCCTGGGTGGCATAGGTGGTGTGTCCCTATCAAGGCGTAAGGCAAAACAAGAAGCGCCACCTTGCACTGACCTTCCTGCCCCTGGTTCTCCACCTGCCACGTTCTGGTAGAGAAGTGGCGAATCCGAGCGGGATTATTATTATCATTAATTGAATTTATATAACGCCCTATACCCAGGGGTCTCAGGGCATGCTCGCAAGGTCATGCGCAGCTCCAGCCAAAACCGACACTGCTTCTGCCAAGGCTTCTACCCAGGGCTGGATTTAGGTTTGATGAGGCCCTGAGCTACTGAAGGTAATGGGGGCCTTAATATGTCCAGCTGTCCTTTGTCAACAACAAATTGGTGCTTTTTTGCGTTGAATATATGCTGTACGGTAATTTATGGTATCTAACAGGTATCTAAGCCATTTGCACATAATAATAATAATAATAATAATAATAATTTATTATTTGTACCCCGCCCATCTGGCTGGGTTTCCCCAGCCACTCTGGGCGGCTTCCATAAAAACCAAAAAACACTAAAATATCATACATTAAAAACTTCCCTGAACAGGGCTGCCTTAAGATGTCTTCTGAATGTCAGGTAGTTGTTTATCGTTTTGACATCTGATGGGAGGGTGTTCCACAGGGCGGGCGCCACTACCGAAAAGGCCCTCTGCCTGGTTCCCTGTAGCTTTGCTTCTCGCAATGAGGGAACCGCCAGAAGGCCCTCGGCACTGGACCTCAGCGTCCGGGCAGAACGATGGGGGTGGAGACGCTCCTTCAGGTATACTGGGCCGAGGCCGTTTAGGGCTTTAAAGGTCAACACCAACACTTTGAATTGTGCTCGGAAACGTACTGGGAGCCAATGTAGGTCTTTCAAGACCGGTGTTATGTGGTCTCAGCGGCCGCCCCCAGTCACCAGTCTACCTGCCGCATTCTGGATTAGCTGTAGTTTCCGAGTCACCTTCAAAGGTAGCCCCACGTAGAGCGTATTGCAGTAGTCCAAGCGGGAGATAACTAGAGCATGCACCACTCTGGCAAGACAGTCCGCAGGCAGATAGGGTCTCAGCCTACGTACCAGGTGGAGTTGGTAGACAGCTGCCCTGGATACAGAATTGACCTGCGCCTCCATGGATAACAAAATATAACAAAATATGCATTTTGTCAAAAAATTGTTGAACTGAAATACAATTAAGAAGATGTATATGGGGGGGGGGCGGCACAAGAGAGTGGGGCCCTAAGCTATAGCTCATGGGTAGGCAAACTAAGGCCCAGGGGCCGGATCTGGCCCAATTGCCTTCAAAATCCAGCCCACGGATGGTCCAGGAATCAGCATGTTTTTACATGAGTAGAATGTGTGCTTTTTTAAAAAATGCATCTCTGGGATATTTGTGGGGCATAGGAATTCGTTCATTCCCCCCCCCCCAAGGTCTGAGGGACAGTGGAGCGGCCCCTGCTGGAAAGGTTTCCTGACCCCTGAGCTTGTTTAGCTTATACGTAAATCCGGCACTGGTTCTGCCACCTTAAAAGCTTCTTCTGCCGCCCGAGGCAGTTGCCTCAGTCTGCCTAATGCCAGAGGCGGCTCTGACACCGCGGCTGCCTCAGGCGGCATTTCACGCCTCGGCCGCCCGCCCCAGCCGCGCCTTCCCTACCAGCCTCCCGCGGTCGGACAGGACCCGCACGGAAGCGGCCCCGAAGTGCCTCAGCAAGCTCTCCTTCTCCGAAGCCGTCAGCGAGGCGGGGAGGTGCCGCACCAGCAGGATCCGCCCGCTTCTCCCCGGCCGCGGCGGCCGGGCCGTCTGCTCCGAGCTGGGCGCCGCCATGTCGCCTCGCCGCGCGGACTGAGCATGCGCCCTGCAGCTCCCGCCGACGCCAGCCGCCGAGAAGGAAAACCTCGGAGAACCGAGTGGGAGAAGTTGTAACCTCGCGAGAGTGAAGGCGTCCTCAGGAGGGCGAGGACCAAAGGGACCGTCCCGTCGCTCTTTCGACGAAGAACTGCGGTACTCAATCGAACTGGAGGGCTGCTTTGCTCTTTGATAGCAAACGAGCGGAATGCTTTTCGCCTGTGTCAGTGATGATGATGATGATAATGATGATGAAGAAAAAGAAGAAGTTGTTTATAGAGTGTCTAATGATACCCACAGAGTGTTCATGGCTGATGCCTGTGTTCAGTTTAGTACCGGAAGTTTAAGCTGTTTCTCTAGATGCCCTTTGGATTGGGCATGCGCTGTAGGGGAAAGGGAGGTCCCAGTGGGCGGAAGTGTTCAAGTGCTGGCGGTAGTAAAGCGAAGCGGCTTCAGGTCGGTTTCCAGCCTTCTCTGTTTCTCAAACTTAGGATCCCCCACCCACCTATTGTTGGACTACAACTCCCATGAACCTTAGCAAGCAGTGTCAACGATCAGGGGTGATGGGAGTTGTTGTCCAACAACAGCTGGGGACCCAAGGATGAGAAACGAAAAGCCATCGCTCGTTGCTTCCGTAGAGAATAATGGAAGCTGATGCTGTGCGGGTCTTGCTTCTGTTTTTTGTGTGGACACGCAGTAAACCTTTAGCGTTATTCCTCTGGTCAAAGGCTGTTAAACAAAGGCTTTTAAATAAATTTCCAGCCGATCTATCCTTATGGCTTTTTGATTAATTCACTGATTCAAGCCACATACGTTTTGCATACCAAATTATGAAGGGTGGAGACGTGCTGCTCTCAGATGATGCATAATCTGTTGCAGATATATTTAAAACAACTGACTTTTTTAGAAAAATATGTGTTGCCTGATTAATCAGGGACTGCTTTTAATTAACCCAAAAAGAAAAAGAAAAGGCTAAAAGGTCGCAGAATCTGATAGACGCTTCTACAAAATTATGAATCCTGGGAGGTTTCCCACTCTTTTTCTACTGTAGATACAGCTGTGCCCATTTTCCTCCTCTTGGCATTTGGGGTAGATAGAATTTAGGCCTGTTCTCTGTTGTTAGAAGTAAGAAAGAAGCTGATGTTTATATAAGATACAGCATAAGGGCTCTCTCTGTTAAAGACAGCATTGCACATATTTCTTACTAGTAATTCAGAATTTAATGCGCTAGAAGAATCTCACTCACTGGTAACTACATTTTCTTCCACCTTTTTGGGGGGCGGGATTTAGAAATGTGACTGACTCATCACTATAGCTCTTCATAAATCACAGAGGGTGTCTGTCATTAAAGGTTGTAGAATGAATGGCCGGCTTTGGCCTGAATGATAGGTTAATTTTAAAAATGTGGAAAGCACTATGAAATCACTTCATCAATGTTACATACTCTTCTATTCAAAATCTAGCCATGTGTGCATCAAACACTAAAATAGTAACAGGATATATATGCCAAAATGCATTGCCTCTAAGCACAGATGATGCTCATCAAAGATAAATGTTGCATTTTATGGCTACAATTCTAATGCACACTTATCTGATGGAGAGCCACATTGAAATTGATGAGAATCACTTCTGAACAAACCTGGATTTGCTCGTGCCATCAACATGACATTTAAAAAATTCATGAATATTGTGTTGATTCATTTTGTTTGCGGAAGTGGCTAAGATCCAGCAGTAAACCCTCCAATCTGTATATCAGAATATCATGCAGGTTGTGGGGTCTTCCATAATGCTGTTTATCTTTTACATCATGAACACCTCTAGAATGAGAGTTGCTGCCATCATCATCATCAGAATTCGGTCTTTCTTTTCCTACTTAATATTACAGCCTGCCTTGCTTAGACAAGAAGAATACAGAATATACAGAATATATAGAATATAAGTTGCAATGTGGAATATTGAGGCTGACAAAGACTTTGAAAATGGTTTATTCTGTTAGTGGCATGAAATTGTGGCTTTTAAAATTCTGTAAGACCATCCCCATAGCTCCCTAGAACTCCTTTTCCTGGCAGAGCTCACTAGTGAAATGTAGAGCAACCCTGGATGGGTTATTAGATAAAATTGAGTTTTGCTTTAGAGTCAACTTATCTGTCTCATCTGTGCAGGTAGTTTTGGAAGTTCCAATAATATGATTGAGTTTCGCTTCTCTGTTTAAAGTGAACATCAAAGGCACTCCAAAAACAGAATATAGAAACACTGAGGGCCCTGCCATTTTGAAAATCGAAATGGACGAGGAGATTCTGTTATCTGATTATTCAGTATAAAATACTTGGCCTTCATTGTGATTTTCTGGCGGCGGGGAGGAGGAATTTGTGGGTTATATTCTGTTTGCAGGGAGATAAGTGGGATGAAACATTTGTGTGGGTTTTCTTTTTCTCTAAGCTACTTTTGTTCAGTGAAAATAAATGAAACTGACACAGTTTTTCCAAAACCCTGCATTGTGCCTTAACTGTATGAGAATCAACTTACAATATCCTTTGGAAGATAAATTGTAACAACAAAGTCAAAATCCTATTCAGACAATAAGTTTGAAAAACGTTGTTAGTCCTTCAGGACAACACGTTAATTTTCACTCACTCTGATAAATAAAAAGCGCAAGTAAACTTGACGTTTGCAAATCCTTTTAAATGCTCCACCCACTCTCAGGATACAAGAGTCTTTGTTTTAGAGTAATTTTTCACATTAACTAAAAACAGAATCCTATCTGTTGAAAGTGAAGGTGATGACTAGGGGGAAAGGGATGGTTTAGCATATCCCTAAACTGTAAGCTGATTGTTGGTAGCCATTTTGCACAACAAATGTAAACTATTGTTGTACTATTAGGTTAGAAATAGTGGGTTGGGGTCAGCATTGTACATTCAATGATTTCCCAGAAAATAATGTCATCATGAATTTAAAAGACAGTGAGCCAGCCTGTTCTCTGAGACAACAATAAGTCTGCCGTATTCCTGATGCGATGTTATAGCCAATGATACCCAGACACCATGTAAAAATAGGTATTGGTATGGTGTTCCGTTGCACCAGAAGCAGTTTAGTAATGCTGGCCACATGACTTGGAAAGCTGTCTGTGGACAAACGCCGGCTTCCTTGGGCTGAAAGCGAGATGAGCTCTGCAACCCCATAGTTGCCTTTGACTAGACTTAACTGTCCAGGGGTCCTTTACCTTTACGTCTCACGCTGCTTAAGGGCAAGAAAAGTGTGAGAGATAAAATATTGGGAGGTTAGATGCTAAGGTGATGACTTATAAATAGTCAAAAGTGTCCCACATTGACAAAGTATTTTCATGAATTTCTAGCAAGACTCTTATTGATATTTGTTATTCCTGAGATTCAGACCTAGAGGGGAAATGATTGCAATAACAACATTAGAATTCAATTCATGCAATTGTCAGTTGACAAAATTAATCCTAAAATTCATATTTTGTCTATCCTTGGAGTTGACTCATGTTTTCCTTTCAAACCATTGTGTTTGCTTCATGAAAACCTGCATTTTTATCACCAAAAATATACTGTTTGCAGCCATTTGACTGGATCTGGATCTGAATTCAATGATAAAATGTATATGCTTTACTCTGTTAAGAAGAGATGCATTTCACTGCTTAATATAAAGTGTAATTTTTTTTGCTTGTAAGTGTTTTTAAAAGCCAATAAGCTGAGTTGGTTTTGAGTTTGGATGTTATGAGATTCACTTTGCAATATGAGTGAGAGAAACACAACAACTTTGCTTGCATAGTAGGGGTTTATTGTAGCAAATAAAATTGAGGTTCTGGATGCAGATACAGTGGTACCTCGGGTTAAGTACTTAATTCATTCTGGAGGTCTGTTCTTAACCTGAAACTGTTCTTAACCTGAAGCACCACTTTAGCTAATGGGGCCTCCCACTTCCGCCGTGCCACCACTGCACGATTCCTGTTCTCATCCTGAAGCAAAGTTCTTAACCCGAGGTACTATTTCTGGGTTAGCGGAGTCTGTAACCTGAACCATATGTAACCTGAAGCGTATGTAACCCGAGGTACCACTGTAATGCATTCAGCAAAGTTTAGTATGTCCTAGGGTTGCAAGTTTGCATACAGACATGTTTTGCAGGTGTCTTTCTGAAGCGAAGGAAAGGGGAACTTAGCAACATAGGATGCACAATGCTGCTTTAAATTTTAAGTACTATTCATATATGCTAATCCACTGTTTATAAATAAAACAATGATATATACTCCCCAATATATAACTTGTGCAATATCATACTTCTCTAAATGAAACACCATCACTGCCAAGGAAAGTTTTCTTTTTCTTTTTTCCAATTAAGTATTGTTCAGTTGACCCCTTGCACTCCCTCTTTTAATCCTCTAGTTCTGATGACGCTGTTGAAATATAAACTTAGGAAGCACAATTATTCCCCAGCTCCATGTTCCTCGAGGAAAGTGTGCATGCCACATCATCCCTTTGCACAAGCTGCCCACTCCTTCCTGCACATCTGGCCAGACTCCTCTGCAGCTGGATGATAGGAGGGAATTGTTTCTGAGAAGTTGTATCGCGCCTGGACCAATAACGCTGTATTACGGAGATAAAAGGGAGCATGTTACAAGGCAGAAGATTTACAGTCTCATTTCTTTCTTTGTGCATGTCATGTGCCCAGCTGGTCTGACTCTTCGTGCTGTTTCCAATTATACATGTCAAGGCACAATATTCTTGCAAACGTGAATGAGTTAAAGATGAAAGTCCGCTTCAAGCTGTTTTCCAAACCATTAGGTTAGGGTAGTTAAGACTGTAGTGCAGGACAAGGCTTTTTTTCAGCTGGAACTCACTAGAACTCAGTTCTGGCACCGCTCAGGTGGGTGCCATTGCCATTATAAGAGAACAAGGTGAGTTCATGGTGAGTTCTGTCACTTCTTTTTCTAGAAAAATAGCACTGGTGCAAGATATGCTATCCAGTGGTGCATCAGGGTGCCTTGACAAACCAATGGTGAAGCAAACTTCAGGGGGTCATTTGACAGGAACATATGGGGACCCATATGAACCGACCTGGACCCTGCGACCACCATCTGAGGCCCTTTTCATGCGCCTACTCCATGCGCCTACTCTAGAGCAGCGGTTCTCAACCTGTGGGTCCCCAGATGTTGGACTACAACTCCCATCATCCCTGAGCTCTGGCCTTGCTAGCTAGGAGTGATGGGAGTTGTAGTTCAACAACATCTGGGGACCGACAGGTCGAGAAAGTCTAGAGCATGGCGACATGAGTGTGGGCCTTTTTCC